ATTATACAACTCAAGAATTTATTAACACTTCAAAATCTCTTGTGCTATAAATCAGAGTATACAGTCACCAGTAACACTTTTAAACACCAAGAAGAAAGAATGCATAGGCAACAGAAATAAAATAAAGATACAAGTATCTCGGTCAAGATAACAAAGAGGACAAAAAACTATATCCTTTGGTGTACCGTATTTTATCTAACTTCTCTAAAGTCTCATGTCAGCCAAGTTATCCAACCATGTAGAAGGCTGCAAACGAGTCGAGCAGCTCGCGAGCCGCTCACGAACGCTTGAGTCAAAGCTCGACTCGAGCTCGAGTTTGACCGAACTTGAGTCGAGCTCGAACGGCTCGAGCACGAACTCGAGTCGAGCTCGAGCCCATATTTGCATTGTCGAGCGGCTCGCGAGCAGCTCGAGAGATATGAAATTACTAAAATTACCCCTTCTGTATAAATGAATTTAATGGTTATTTTACAAAATTACTCGAAAAAATTCGAACCGAACTCGAGCCGAGGTCGAGCATTTGAATTCGAGTCGAGCTCGAGCTCATGTATTTTTTATCGAGTCGAGCTCGAGCTTAAAAAATCGAGCTCAACGAGCTCGAGCTCGAACAGTTCAAAAAAAAAAAAAAATTCAATCCTGCTAGATAAATAAGGCCAATGCTCGACTCGGCTTAGCTCGTTTGCAGCCCTAATGTAGGTAAAAGAAGTATCCCACAATAATTATTCTTATAATCACACTACTATTGTTTACAACACCAACTGAATGGATTGCAGGCAGGACAATACCAAAGTAATTCAAAAGCAGGAACCATAGGCTTCTATTACAATACGAAGCATGACACAAAATAAAACTACAATCAATCAGAAGACAAAATCTATAAAGTACCGCCAGGTGATGTGTGAATAGAAGAAAACGCTGATTGAAATCCGCAAGGAAAAAATTCTTATAAATAAGTGCAAATTATTTGAAACAAAAGATATGCTGGCATGCACATGAAATTCCCGATTGAGCATAAAACCCCAAGGTTTAAATGCCAAAATAAAAAAGATAAGAAAGAGTAGAAGAACAATTTGAATATGAGCTTTTGGTATAAACTATAAAGACAAAAATTATTTACAAGTACTCAGGGTAGGTGGCGATTTTTGTTTTAACTAAATTTGAGATGGTTTATCTAAAATAGACTTATTTTCATAAATAGAACTATCAAAAGCACAAGCACTTTAAACTCCAAATCATAAGCAGACCCATGCATTCACAAAGTAAAATAATGATGTTCTAGAAGTTGGCAATCAAACCTTTTTTCTTAGAAATTAAAATATCAAACATGGATGAGTTTTTTGGCAACAAGAATCTCGTTCATACTCAAAGACCATGTCTTGTCACAACAAAGCACTTCCATGCCAGCCATCTCCCCTTTGGTGAGTTTCGGTCTTTGTATTTAGAATCTTTCCAGATGATGGAGATTTCAATTTATATATGTATACAAATGATTCTTATCATTTTCCATTTTTTTTTCCAAACATTTTGTCCTATGTATGTAGCACATGCACGTACGATATATGTATTTTTTGAGGCCAAGGGAAAGAAAGCAATTTTCAACTTTTGGGTAGAATAAACAAGAAATATAAACTCCTTAAGTCCACATTTTGATGCAAATGCGAAGTACATGGATATACCTTTGCTTTGCCAATAGGAAGAAAGAAACTGGAATCAATAACTTCAACTGATACAGAAAATGATTGACCATACCTGTACAACAAGCATGTACACTCAAAGAATTAAACAATATATGATTTAAGATCGTCACCTAAGTAATTCAGTTCGTGCGTCGGATATACATTCCAAGGTTTCTGTTTACTCACGAGCATTTTATACAAATGAAAGCTCTAAAGCTCACAAATCTGTCCACCAACAATCGACACCCGAAGTACAACAATTAGAGCGAAACCCACAAAATCAAAACTCCACAAACTTTGGTGGTTAGTAACAGAACAAAGTACTGCAACAACTATAGAGGGACTTCCAGAAAAGATAAAGATAAATAAATACTAAAAAATGGCCTACCTATAAATATTGAACTAAAAATCAATGTAAAAGAAAAAAAAAGGCACTCCTTCGACTTACGCCCATTTAGGTCCTGGTGGAATTTCCTAGCTTAAGCCATAAGCGATGGCTCAATTATGCCACCATTGACTGAAAACCATATGCAAAGTCGACTCTACAAAAATTCATTCCAACATTCACTAAAAATGAACTAAACCTTAAACACAATTCCTCAAGAAATCAAACCATTAAAGAAAAAATAACACAAATAACCTTTCTGGATGTTCTAATTCGCAAGGGTTCGACCATCTTCGAGTTGCTTTCCATCGAAGATCAAACGTTGTTGATCTTGCGAGATCCCTGGAACAGTTTAAAAACAAATGAAGCAAAAACATGAAAGGAAGAAAAGCAGAAGGAGAACTACTCTATATTGAGGAAGAAAAAAATTACATAGTCCATTAGAATAGCCAACTAACATCCAAACTTCATAAAAGCTTAGTTTCCTTCATTTTTGGTTAATTCAGAAATTCTAAAAAATATGATAGTTGATTGCTTCATATTTTTTTAGGAAAGAATCACTTTATCAGAATCTAAGTCGCCCAAAAGTTCAAGCAAAGATGACTATGCACACCTGAATAACAAACAATCTAATTATATTAGCTAAATTATTAAATAACAATCCAGAATTTCACACAGGGTTGTCAAATAAACAGACAAACACGAA